ATCAGCATAAAATTAGCCATTATATTTCTTGATTACTCTTTTACAAACACAAAAAGTAAAAGATTTGGCATTCTGAAAGAAAATCAGGAACAGTACCATTCTGGTTCCTCACCCTAAGGTCCTGCTTCAAGTGATCTACCATCTGGATTTGGAAATAAACTTCCTTGCTTTCATTATTGCTGAGGGTAAGTTGTGGACCCTCCGACCTAACAGCACTGTCATAAGCATAAGGACTGCAGCAATTCAAAAAATTAGCTCCAACACACCTTCTCAGAAGGAATAGGAATGGGCAATAAACGCGACCATCTGATCAGTGTTAATTGCATTCTTAAGGTTAAAGATACACAGATGATGGAAAGTGATTGATCAAGTGTCTTGAGCACATATAAAGAAAGACTTATCAGTCATTAGAATGACATTTTGCTTTGATTTTGAAAGTTTCCTTTAAAAATTTGTTGTTACAGTGTTCCTTTAAGTGGTGGTCAATTAGTTTATTTAGTTAGTTACTTTTTCAAAACAGTACATCTGGGACACTGTTTGTTAGTTGGTAAAAGGCAGCCATACATACATGAATTCTTTAAGTAAGCCACCAAGAAAATGCTTTACATCTAGTTTCATTATCGCTATCTGGCTCGAGATCCAACTAACAACCAACACTGTCCACGTATCAAAAATTTTTTAAATGACAAAAATCTACATTTTTTCTAAAAAGACACACAAATCATTCTTTTATTATAAAAAGTTTGTCCGATATTGTTTTTATCTTGGTTTTCCCTCACTAAGATTTAAAATGTTAAAAGAAGAAAAATTAAACAAAAACTTCCCCACAGATGTAACGCTCTGTTTCTTTTTGTAGGAGCACATCTTGCATCACACTCTGACTTGGAAACGTGGGCATCTCTTTAAACTTGGACTTGTTGTTGATCGGTTTGTCCGAGGTACAGTTAAATTAATCAACAATTAAACTTCTCCCAGTCATTTTAAGGCTACCACAAGCTGAGTGTGTACAATTTGGAGCACGTTTAGTCTGCATTGGTCAGATTCAGAGCAAAAGGAAACCTTGGGTTATAACAAAATCTGTGGGCTTGTTTCTCCAAATGTCTTCAAAAGTAACTGTAAGGTGAATATGAGAAGCTTTTCAGGGAGGGTTTATCCAGTGTTTAGCTTTTTATTTCAGAGATAGACACTGGCCCAGTTAAAGTGATAGGTGCTCAATACAAAGGTAAAGCATGGGAACAATATTATTTTCATTGCAAAAATTCAGAACCCATCCGTGTTCACACAGCAATTTATTAATTCAGATGCAGCAGATAACACATTCTAGGTAAATATGTAATTAATCACAAAAATATTTGCAATTTGGGAGCGGAAGATTTAGATACTGCATTTAAATGATTTCACATATACATGATGTGGTCCCTGCCACTTCCTTATAGTAACATTCACTCCTTTCCCTTGTCAACATATTTTGACTCGTGCTGAACAATTCTACATCAGATTCCTCACTTCATTTAAGTATTTGCATGTCCATCATAGATGCAAATATACTTCAACTAAAGGAAGGAAATTAGCCTCGACGGGACTTCAAAATATGTTCATCGTAGTACTTAAACTATGTGACCCTAGACATGCAGACAAGATCAAACAACACCATTAGTGTCAAAGATTAATGCAGTATATAGTTACAAGGTTAAATGTTTTTTGTCATTCCAAAGAAAAACCTCTACTTCTGAGAACACTGCCAGGAAAATCTGCTAACAAGATACTTTAAAAAGGAAAATAAGCATAAATATTCAAAGTTATTTGCATTTTTCGAGAACAAACTGAATGAGCACAATCTACATTAAAATGACAGTTATGTAAGTGTATTGACAGTTAAAATGTATCAATAAAGCTAAACTTATTTTTAAGATGTGAGCATTGATGACATTTATTGTACATCTCTGGTTTCCCTGAGAAAGTTGTGATAAAACAGTGAATTTCTGGCAACTTCAGAGAATCGTTAACAGTCAGCTAGGTTAGCATGGAACTGGAGTCACACGTGAACGAGACTGGGTAAAGGCAACAAGCTTTCCTTCATGACGGAGTTGGGTTTTAATGACAATACTAACATTGTGGTCACATTTACTTTTTTTTTTGGTTTCAGATTTATTTCATTCGCAGTTAACTTCAAGTTGTCTGGATTATTAGTTCATATTTCTGCACGACTAATCCAGTAATGTAAGCACAATGCTAATGCAAACAAGTAATACAAGAGACGGAGCCTTGTAGAGGTTTGAGCAATCTGGGCTAAGGTGAGATGTTGTGACAGAAGTCCAGTGAGGACCATCTCAACACTGAGATCGCCTTGCCCCATCTTTTACTCTTTCCACAAGCAGGGTGGTGACATTCTCAATGAGCAATAGTGATTTGCCAGTTGATGGTGATTAATGCTTGGTAAGTTCATTGTTGATGGCCCTACTCACCATTGGGGTCTTACCAAACACATTGAGCAAACTAGACATCGGAAAAACCCAGCAAGTGGGTGCTTGGCAGGTTCGCATCCCACGTCCCACGGACACTGGTATCTTACATGTGACATGCATATCTCCCATCCACTTACAGGACACTTCTGTGCTTCAATGTTTCACTTTTGGCTGCAATGACAATTAGCAATGAAATGCTGCAGGAAGGCAGCTCTGTGCTCAGAGGCATGCACCTAGCTCATTGTCTGGAACAGGCTGCATCTCTGGGCTCTTCACTCACTATCATAGCTCTCACTCATTCGGAGGCTACCTGAATGCTCATATCGTCTGTTTTGCAAAACCGTGCCTTGCCTTTTTATGCTTTGCCCCTTCAGATACGAGATACCAGGTTCATATTACTGTGATCTTGACATGCCGTTTAGAGCAGTCACAAAGCTTTTAACAGTTATCAGAAAGCCTCAGTCAAGTCAAGGGGCATTGGCTTTGCTCAGGAATCCCACTAAGTTCGTCAAGCTCAGCTTCCGACCGATCCCAATCCAGGGCCTACTTGGGGTGGTTTCAGTCAAGATTCGCTCTGCGTTAGGAGCTGCAAGTCAAGCAGCCCACCTCCTTGTCTGTCTTTCCACACTGCTCCAACCAACTGAGGCTGCTTTAATCCAAGTGGCAACGTCATGATCTGGTGTCATGGCTTCCACAACTGCTGCTGGGGGAAAAAGTCCTGCTGCTGCGGCACATTGGGTTAGGGTTCAGCGCCTGCTGGGCAATGTGCAAAGTCGGGTACTGACACTTCCCATCCCCCACTACCCCCCCAAACCCATCTGCTATGGCCGGGGCAGACATCAGGAACCATGCAGCGCAGCCCTGGACTGGCAGCGCTTGGACACGTGCACAACAGCCTTTTAAAGATGATATCTGCGCCAGGGATGCTGGTCAATCTGGGGATACTCAGTGAGTGGTGAGTTGTTCTGGGAACACTGTGCAGTAAGGCGGGGCAGAAATCGGATGTGATACATGCTGTTGGAACGGGAAGAGTAAGGGTAAGATTTGGTGAGAAAACATGTCTTGTGACAAGAATCCCTCCAACAAACCTGATGCAATTTGCACTTTCCCAAAAGAAAAGTAAGATTCAGCTGAATGGGTCTGATATGCTGGAGTTATTTTTCCATAAATACACCCCAGTGCTGTCCTGGATAAGGAGGTTTCTACAATTAATCCTTTGATTGCTCAGGATCTTAAGATACTCCGGTGTTTTTGGATATGAACATATCACAGGAAGCAGTAGGTCATTTGGCCCCTCGAACCTGCTCTGTAATTCAATAACATCATGGCTGATCTCATTGCGCCCTCAATTCCACATTTCTGGCTCCAACTGCAATAATCTTTGACTCCCTTGTTGGTCGAGAATCTATCTACCTCTGTTTCAAATGGCTCTACTTCCAACCCTCTCTGTAGAAGACAGTTCCAAAGACCCATGACCCTCAGAGAGAAGCATTTGTCCTCATATCCAGGGAAACATCCTCTCAGCACCTACCCTGTTACAAACTCTCAGGATTTTATACGTCTCAGCAAGATCATCTTTAGTCATCACAAGCTGCCTAAGAGGTCATAATTTGTTAGAAACTCAATCTTCACGAATAGAGATTGAGGGCTGAATTTTATCAGGCCCTGAACAACGGGACCATTCAGCAGGGGAGATATGGTGGGAATGAAAAATTGAGATGCTTAATATCAAGGAAAAAAAGTGTGGCCACTGTTGAGAGGTGGATGCAATTGCAGCATCTGAGTAAGTATGACGTTTGAAATAATTTTTGTACAGAGTAGATGGGGAGAAACTGTTTCCACTTGTAAAAGAATCAAAAATCAGGAAGCGTAGGTCTAAAGTGTTTTACCAAAGTAAATAAGTACAAGGTGAGAAAAAGTAAATTCACTACAGCATGTAGTTAGGTTCTGAAATGCACTGCCTGGAAGTGTGGTGGAAGCAAGTTCTGTTGTGACATTCAAGAGGGCATTTAATGATTATTTAAATAGTAATAATGTACAAAAGGTATGGGGGAAAGACAAGAAATTGACAATAAGTCAAAATGCTCGGACAGCCACTGCATGTTCAGAGGTTGATGGCCTTCTTCTATCTTGTAACAATTCTGTGATAATGTTACTTCAGGATGCACGTAAAACTCCAGCAAAGACAATGCTGGAAAATATAGGGCTGTCAGACAGAAAATACCAGGGTACCAAATATGTGTCTCCTCATTTAATTTTCCTTTAGCATTTACGACCCTCTACCCTACCAAGCAATTAATTTGATTTAGTGCATATTGGCGTGGAAGTGCAGCTGAAGGGACTTAAAACAGCTAAAGTTTTTTTTTGGTTCATAAATTACATCTGTATTTCAATCAGTTCAAAGAGGTTACCTTTTGCTGTTTATACCATAACTGATAGTAGTGGCTTCTTGCTTTCTTTTAATTTAAAGAAAATCAATTTAAAGTAGTTACATGCTCATACATTTGGACAAACTAACATATTCCATGTACTTACGGGGCATGATGCCTTGGTCTGCTAGCTGCTCACGGGTTCGGCGTTGCTGGAGTCGGAGTTGGAGAACTGTGACAAAAAACAAAATTTGCAGTGATCAGGAAGCAGGCATTCATCATTGACCATGAAGAAGTTGTTGGTAGCTGAATGCAGTTGGGCTCTGATAAGGAGGACGATCATGGTACTTGTTTGAGGTCAGCCAAGAAGGTAGCAGGGCACTTTAGGAATACGCTGAAAGACAGTAGGCAACTTGCATATCCATCACTACTGAAATACTCACTCCCTTTTAGATGTCATAAGTCCTCTGGAAACAGATACGTCTTTGGGGAACGTATTTCACTTCACTGTTTCTAAAAAATAACTATTACTTTTCCCAGAACATGATCTTTAAATTTTAATTATTTGATCCTTATCTCCTGCTTGTATAAAATATGGTTAATATACAATATGTTTTATATTGCAATGCTACCTATCCTTGAATTGTGTGGCTTTTACCTAAGGAACATGAATGCATAGCATTACAGTGTGCTAACAAGGTGGTAGCTCCATTAAGGTTTGGCTGACATAAATAAACTGGAACAACAAAACAAAGATCAAACAATTTTTAAACCACATGATATGTTGCTGTCTTGTAACTGCCAAGACGTATGTGGTGTATAGACTGTGATGTTTATAGAAAAACAATCAACTGCCATTATTGTTGAGCCACGCAATGGTTGTGGAGGAAAGCACAGACTACTGCCGGAGGTCAAATACTGTGGTATTGAAAATTAATTTTAAGACACCTTATGCCTCTCCGAAAAAAAAGTCAGTTTTATTAATCAGTAACCACAATTTAGCAACAATATATTTAAAGTATGCATGGGAACTTTGGGGTATCAAGTGGAAAGTAGATCTGGTTAAAATTCCAAGTTGACTAAGATTTCTCCTCTTTGCAATATCGGGGAGAACATTAGCTAAAGATTTTCCAAGGTTGGAACCAAAAGTGGGTTCTGGAGGCACTCAACAGCGTGGGAAAATTAAGAGTAAAAAAGAAAAACAAACCGTGGATGCTGGAGATCCGAAACTAAAGCAGAAATTGCTGACAGGTCTGGCGGCATCCGTGGGGAGAAAACAGAGTTAACATTTCAAGTCCAGTTCTGAAGAAGGGTCACAGGGAATCAAAACATTAACCCTGTTTTCTCTCCATGGACGCTGCCAGACCTGCTGAGTAACGCCAGCAATTTCTGCTTTGTGGTAAAATTAGGAGGCTGGCTCTGGGAAAGCGATCAGATTGAGGGTGGCAAGGTAGGACTGTGAGCTGGCTGGATTGGTCCTGCTAACAGCCTCACACGGAGGGGTGGATGCTGCTGTGGAGAATGTGAGGGAGCTCCGAAGGTGGAGTCACTCACTGTAATTGTAGGGATGTTTTAAAATTAAACGTGGCCATAGTTGTCAGACTGTCACTGTGGAGGGGGACTTTGGGGCAGAACATACTCAGTGTTTGGTTGGGAGAGGAAGGGGAGATAATGCGTCTTCTCTGGCTGCCTTGGTGTGCTGCCAGGAGGTCCCCTCCTGAGAAGTGCTTCTTTTTTCCCCACAGCACTGAGACCCAATCTCCCACCAAGTAGCCAGTTAACTGACACTATTGGGTACTCACTGCTGCTTAGATTTCATTTCCTGGCTACCTCAGGGAAGATCTGTTGGATTGGGGGTGGTGGGGGAGGTGGGGAGGGTGGTGTGGCAGATTGTGTCGGGGGGCCAATCCATGTGCCATTTTCAAAATTGTCCTGCTGCCCAACAGCAAAGCCATCCCTGCACAGTTGTTATGATTCATCATATTCTCTCGTCTCTGCCAGAAAGGTTCCACTGGGGGAAAAGGTAACCAGGATCATTAGTGACCAGAATTACTATTAATGCTAATCAGCAAGCGCCTAACAAAAAAGGTACATTTGCAATGGAGAAAACTAGCTATTACCACTGTCACCTATTTCTTTGTCAACATTTTAGGCAAGGACGCAATCATTCAGCACTATTTCTTGTCTGCTAGTAGTTGTCACTGAATGAGTGCATGACTGTTCATACAAATGACTGACTGACCACTGAGATTGAATATGGACTATATTAATGGCATTCTACCTCTTCTTGGTAGTAGACTGGCAGAAAGGCATTTCTTTTTAAAAAGGAACAAAATATTACACACTTAGGACTTGTACAACTTAATAAATGGACAAAAAGATTGAACTTTGATGCAATAGCAAAATACGGTGGATGCTGACCAACTGAAATAAAAACAAATGCTGGAATATGTCAGCTGATTCAACAGCATCTGTGCAGGAAACGTTGTGATTCGATGTAGCTCTAAGCGACGTTAAAGAAGTAAAAGCAAGGCTCAATCTTGAGCAATGCTTCAGCCTTTGAGTTCAGGGAGGCATCCCATTACCTGTACTTCTTAAAGAGTACATCACTGAATTTTATTGCCTGCAGGTCATGTCAGACAGCTGCAAGGGTTTATGTAAAGCTGCATTTATTCAGCAAGAAGTGCTCTTCTGGTGCAGTGGTGGTGCCTTGGCCTCTGAGCCAGGAGGCCTGGGTTCAAGTCTCATCTGCTCCAGCGGTATATAACAACATTTCTGGACAGGGGGATTTAAAAATACCTGTATTCGGCGAGGTGTTCCTCATGCTGCGGACATTTGTGTTTTAGGGATGCAACAATAGATTTTATGTCTGGTGCATATGTATCCGTGTTGTTCTTTTGTTAGTAGAAAATGCATGATAGCAAATCCACAAAATCATTGTGAAGAGGAATCTGGTTCATGCTAATACGTGGGAGAATTAACAATATTTCAATTCAGTTAAAATGTAAATAAAATCATGGGTTCTGACGCTGCACTGAGGGAGTACTGAAACTAACCTTTTTTAAATGAAGCATTAAATTGTGTACAGCCATTATATGGCATTATAGCTCACCTGGTGCTATTCAAAAAACAAGGAGTACTCCTCATAACTTGGCAAACGTTTCCCCAGTTTTGAGGAAGGGTCACTGGACCCGAAACATTAACCCTGATTTTTTCTTCACAGATGCTACCAGACCTGCTGAGCTTTTCCAGCAACTTCTGTTTTTGTTTCCCTTTCAACCAAAGCCACCAGTTAACTCACCATTCTTAGAGACAAAAAAACTGCAGATGCTGGAATCCAAGGTAGACAAACAGGAGGTTGGAAGAACGCAGCAGGCCAAGCAGCATCTGGGAGGAAAGAAGCAGTCAACGTTTCGGGTATTACCCTTCTTCAGGTCTGGATGTAGGGATAAGGTGCTGTTCTTTAAATTTGCGTTCCGAGTTGCTGCGACACTGGAGGAGGCCAAGGATGAACACGTCGGAGGGGGAGTGGGATGGGGAGTTGATTTGGGCAGTGACAGGGAGGTTAGGTTGGCTGTTACGGGCCAGGCGGATATACTTGGCAAAATGCTCACCTCGGGTCTACGTTTGGTCTCAGAGACGTAGAGAAGACCACATCGGGAGCACTGGATGCAATAGACTAGGTTGGAGGAGATGCAGATGAAGCTCTGTCTCACTTGGAAAGGCTGTTTAGGGCCTTGAATGCAGGTAAGGGAGGTGCTGTGTTGCATCTTTTACGGTTACAGGGGAAAGTACCGGGTGGGTTGGAGTGGTTGGTGGGGAGTGTGGCGTGAACTAAGGAGTGGCGAAGGGAATGGTCCCTGCACCATTCTTGATGACAGTTTGTTAGATGCAAAAGTAGTCACTGTTACCACAAGCATTTCGCTACGAGCTGTGCAGCAATGCTTTTTTTTCCCCTCTGTGTGAACGACTTTGAGACTCCTGAGAGATAAGGCACCACACTAATGTACCATTCGTCAACCAGCCAGCCATATCTTTGCAATAGTATGATACTCCCTCTAGTGGGTGCCCAGGAACCAACCACTTACTCAAATGGCACATTCCAAGGTTAGATCTAGATGCAGTGCCGCACTTGTCTATCAGGTGACTTCAAAACGTTCAAATTTTCTTTTCGAAAAAAAAACTAAAAGTTCCAGCATGTCGATTTCCCACTTCCCCTTTTTGTTGCTAGTTTGAAAGACTTTAATACTGATTAAATGACAGCCTTACACTCAAATATAACTTGAAATTTCAAGAGGATTTTTAAGTATTATTTAAGAACCAATCCGTGGTATCCACGACAAACAGCTGCACAAAGTTGGAAGACAAACAAAAAGCACACCCTTACAAATATATGGTTAAAAAAACAGGATGCACAGTTATAAACAAGTATTTTAAACAGGATCACGGCAGTGTGTGGTCCCGGTACTGAATATAAAGTGGAACAGAGAGAGAAAAAAAAAGTGATCACCGAGAGGTCAAACACTCAAACCCCAAAGATAATTCACCACCACACAGTGTGCAGCATCTGTACTGTCATATTAAACTCTCTCCAAGAGAGTTTGTATGGTGTGTATATGCCAGACTCTGAGCCGGCCATTGTGGAGATGTTAATAACCGATGTTATATGTGTATTTAATTGAGATAGCTTTGCACTGAAAATATACATTTCTGTTGTCGAAAATACAACATGTCGCAAGTTTCAGGGTTGTGATTTTTTTTTTTTTTAAATAAAGTAGGTACAAATTTTACACACACAAACCCAAAGGGTGAACTCAAAAGCGGCAGCAGCTTGGATCCTACTTGTTACTGAACCAACAACGCCCTGTAATAGAAGCCATAACTTGTCTGGTGACTAATAACTGGAGAGTTTAGCAACAGTTGGAACAGTGCACATCTTTACATTACAGTTCAATATCGTTTCTTTTCTTTAAAAGGGAGAAGCTTCCAGCTTTTTTTTTTGGGGGGGGTGGGGTGTGTGGGGAAGTTAAAAAAAATAATTCGATCAGCAAACCTCCTTTTAATTCCTGGGAGATGAAATAGGAGTGTGCCTGACAGCTGTCATCCCGGTTTCCATATACATTGCAAGGCGTAATCCCTGACTCTGCGGTGTAGACCATGCTTAATTCCTCAAACGGTCCTAACCCCTACAAGCTCCTGATTTCAGACGGATACCCACTAACTGGCCCCATACTTCGGTGTTTCCTTCAGAAACCGAAATGAATGGGCAGGGAACACTCCGTTAAGATTGTGAGATCACACACTCAGCACACCCTCTGGTGCTGCTGTAGATAAAGCTTCTGACATTCGTGTTGGAACCTGCATTAAATATTTCCTCACAGGTCCCGGCTGTTCTGTGGGCCACAAGGCTGAACTGATAAATTCAAGTCTTTGGGGAACCTAGATTAAAAATAGAAGCCTCTCAAAGGCAGGCTGCTATAGTTAAACCTCAGGCTGAAGTGCTGAGGCCCCTCTGACCCGGCCACCGCAATCCAACGAGATGATTTCTACACAACTGATCAAATTAAACTGGTAAAAATAGCACCTCCAGTTGTCGGGCTGAGAGTGTATCTGCCAGGCACTCGCACCCTTGGTTGAACGTTAAACAACTTGTTTGCCCAGCTAAGAACTCTGCACAAATTCCGCACTCTTGTTGCCTTTGCTGCTGCATTGTTTGATATTCCTGTGATAGATTTTTGCCTGAAAGATTTTTTTCCATAATGCAAAACTTTCAGCGGGTGCTTTATAAAGTTAACACGCCTGCCCTGCTCCCCTTGAAGTCAATGGTATTAGCTAACACGCAGGGAATGTCAATGGGCAATTGATATGACACTGCATCATTTTATTCTTAAAGTCCATTTATTTATTTGTCGCCCTGTGCCAATTTGCATTCATCATGCTCGTGTAACAAAACTGCTGTTTGGACTAATCTACACAAGGAGAATATAGCAATCCTATGTAAAGAGCTTTTCTGTGCACTTGTTAACGAACACTGTATAAAAGGTTATGTCTGTGATTTGAGAACTTATAGCAACAATAATAGTTGTGGTTAAGATCTATTAAATCTAGTCCTGAACCATTCAAATGTCAAATGGCTGGATTTTTCCATTCTGTAAGTTTTTTTAAAAGTTAATTTTCTTCTTTTTAAGTTTCCCCAATTCCTTCTGAAATGCTGAGCATGTGTCTTTTTCAATGTCATCATAAGGTGTGTCTTAAAATGAAAGGTTTGTCTCTAGGCAAGAAGATTAAAAACCTCAGGCCTATATTCTCTGCAGTTTTAAAGAATAATAGCTAATTTCATTTTAAAAATACACAATTCTTACAGGGCTCCACTGGGTAGATGTAGGAAAGATGTTTCCCATCATAATTCAATGGGACACAGTCTCAGAAAAAGGGGCAGGGCGTTTTGGACTGACACAAGAAGGAATTTCTTTGCTCAGAGGGTGGTGAATCTTTGAAATATTCTTCTCCAGAGTGATGTGAAGTCTCCATCATATTTAATATTGGGATGAAAAGACCCAGCACCAGGAATTACAGGTTAAGGATACAGGGTAATCCGTTGAAGACTGAGATGAGGAGAAATTTCTTCACAGAGAGTGGTGATCCTGTGGAATTCTCTGCCACAAAAAACAGTTGAAGCCAAAACATTGAATGTTTTCAAGAAGGAGTTAGGTATCGTACTTAGGGCTAAAGGGATCGAAGGGTATGGGGAAAAAGGGGAACAGGTTACTGAATTAGATGATCAGCCATAATCATATTGAATGGTGGAACAGGTTCAAAGGCTGAATGGCCTACTTCTAGTCTGATTTTCTACGTTCAACAGATTTCACATTTCAAAAACAGTAAGCAATAAGAGGATAGTGCAGGAAAATGTTGCTGTTGGAAGATCTGCCTTGAGCTCACTGAAAGGCAGAGTGGGCAGTGAAAGGCAGAGTGGGCACAAAGGGCCAAATGGCATGCCGCTGTGCTTATTTCTTGAGTCCTGACTTCCGTCCTCTTTCCAGCCCTCTATGTGAAAGCTTTCTCTCACCTCTGGATCTGAATTAGCATTCAGCAGGAGACAAGAGGAGTGGAAGCATGGTAGTCATCACTCAGCTTGTTATCCTGATGTATAGAAGATGGAGGATTGACCTGACTGAGGTGTTTAACACATTAAACAGTTTTGATGGGGCTGGGAATCAAGAACAATCTTGAACTTCGGGTGGAAGTTAGAAAGCACTTTTACCATTAACAGAATCATAGAAATCAAAGAGATCTCTTCTCCAAAAAGATATGAACACATAACTGCAATGACTAGGAGATTTCATGACTGAGATCATTAAATTTTGTTTGGTATTGGATATGGAGCCAAAGCAGATAAATAGTGTTGAGGCACAAATCAGTATGATTTAACTGAATGACAGAACCGACTCAATACATTGAATGGCTTACTCCTACACCTATGTTCCTATATATTACAGATATTACATTTAATGAGTTACCTAAATACTTAGCACTGAGAATCTGCGTCTTTAAAATTTATTAAGTGAAATTGAATGTTTCAGAGCAAAATATCCTGTGCTAACCATTCATTTAGGAACATCTCCAAACTGGAAGTTCAGAAACAGTACTAAGAATCTCTCTTTCTTGAGAGAGTCTTATTCTACAGCCGACTAATTGAATGTAGCTGACTGACAGCACTTCATGCTGACAGTGAGCATAAAGTGAAAGGGTGGGTCCAACCCCATCACTCGCTTCAATAAGCATGAACATACCAGAAAATTTAATAAAAAAAGTTACTTTGCAACAATCCAACTATTGTGGTGTCCATGTGAAGCAATCATTCTTCTGATTGAAGTGCAAATCCCAACTCTACTTCAGAATGTGCATGAGGCATCAGCAGTCCTATCCACAAATGGTAAAGGCACCTCATACAAACAAATTTTGAGGGCTGCCATCATGGATTTTGAGCACAATTATGGTAGAAATTTGCCGCATTTGAAAAACAGCCAACATAGTCATACCATGATGGTGCTTTTCAAATGTTCCCTTCATTCAAATCATGCATTAATTGGTAGTAAATTGTAAAAAGTGTGTTATCAGGCAGCCACTAATAGATAGCAGAGAGTAGAAAGAAAGAAAAAAGCAAAAAATTGACTATGAAGATGATTGGTATGCATTTTTTCCCTGCACCATTACAACTTTCAGTAATTATTTTTTTTGAAAAGAATGGTATCTGCAACCGAGAATCCACAGACGGCTGGGTTTTGAAATATTTCAGATGAGTACAGGTTGTTTAACTAATAGCAGGCAGCTGCCAAGAAAACCTGCTGTTACAGCTCATCCTGATAGGAAGGTTTACAAGGTAACTGTGTATATCTTCTTTTGAAATTAACAATTTGGGTTGTTTATTAACACATTACATTTTAAATATAACTGTGGTTACAATTATGACAGCCACAACTGCATTCACAAAAATTACATTGTGCAAAAGCATGATGAGATACACAGCAAGGTAGGGTGTGAGATAATATGACAAGCTGAACTCTAAAGCAGTTGGTTTCCATTCTATTTAGTTTTTCTTATGAAGCTTTAACATTCCCATTCTGTTTATACCTGCTTGAGCTCACCCAACTGTACATCATTTGAGAGGTGGAGTCAGTCTCAGGTGCCTTAGGAATTTTCTTCTTTGGTTTAACACTTAAGTTTACTTCCACTAATATGAGATATACAAACACTGTAGATTTCTATTGCTGGTCACTTTTCTGGTGTATGAAGCATCATCCATGTCTCAGTTTAGAGAATTCTTGCTTCTGACAACACGGAGTGTATAAATTCCACTCCAGAGAAGGGGACGCCAAATTGAGGCTGACAGTCCAGTGTAGTAGAAACATAAGAGAACACCAGTGAACGAGGTCAGAGTAGTTAAAAGTGATGAGGAGACATGGCGAAAGTTCTTTATTCAAATGCACATGGTGTTTGTAACATATGGATGAATTGATAACCTTATACATAAAAGAGCTTAAGAATGGTAGTGTAGAGACATGGATTACAAAGTGACCCCATGACTAGGACTTGAATATTCAAGGGTATCCCTGTTAATGAGGGATGAGATCAGTATAGTGTTGAGAAATGATCTTGGTATAGACAATCAAGACTTAGAACCAGTCTGACCAGATGACTAATAGAGTTCCCCTCTAACATTCTGGAAAATTCCTGTGTTATGAGGCAAAGCAATTCTTTTGTGCAGTTAGATGATCTAATTTGTAATGCCATCACAGCTAAATTTCACTAGAATTTGCCATCTAAAAACAAAACTGAGCCAGTATCTTCATCTACTTTCAAACAATTCCTATTGGGACCATGTGCATACTGGGGGAGGGCAAAATAGTTATCATGCCTCTGTGTATGTCAAGCTCAAAAGTCTGACAATATTCACCTTTAGGGCTACCACACACAACAAAATTATTTAGGAAAGGTACTGAATGGAATCCAGTGCACGAGAACTATACCCCAACAAAATAGAGACACGAAGGAAAGAAAATAGATGAAGAATATTCCTTTCTTTTAATGCCAATATTATCGGAAGGCTCCTGTCTGACGTAAGATCCACTAAACACCATTCCATTATCGACATGCCAGGGAACCAACTACAGTTCTACAACAAGGGTTTGGCCCATGCAGTTTTCTTTGCAAAGCCTGTTATTTGTTCATGCCTTCTAATAATCATCATCCTTCCCAATGATAAAAGGGTGTGATTTTTTTTGAAAAAAAGCTGTTGAGCCTTTCTTTTGTTTTGTGCATTGCATAAATATTCTTAAATGCCTACACATGAGATTCAAATTGAATGGGTTACCACATTGTGCTTTCATTTGTACCATCTGGATTCAAATTCAAGAGCACTAATGGGCTAAAGGCACCACTTTATACCTTGTTAAATGACCAAATGAAGTTGGGTAGATTCAGCCAGACTGCCAATCACCATGAGGCCCCAGGTAAAATATTGACCTGTCTTTCTTGCCAAGTACTGACTGACGCGCAGTAACTGATTTTTGTCTTTTTAAACCTGCTGTACTTCTGGATTTCAGGTGTTTAATCGACGGAGACAAATTTTAGCTCTTTTTGTACCAACCGTGCTGTTTACA